TTGGCCCTAACGTGCTCCACTGGTGTCTCTAGGTACATGAAACTTACTGAATAAATAAGTGAAATCCTATTTTAAATAACCAAATCAAATCTTTAGTGGGAATTGTTTCTGAAAGCATCCCCAACACAAACAGGTTCTAAAATGGAATTGCTCATGTGCAAGGTGTTTAGAACTATAATTCCACTTGGTAAATCTTGCATAAGGCAATTCCTTAATAATATACTGTATTTCAAATATGAATTTATACTGACTTAGACAGAAATTCTAGGGGAGAAATTAAATGATAATGAGGACATCATATGTAAAGGATTTTTATAAATGCTGCTCAATGGGGAGTGGCATTAGGTTGAGTTTTAACAATATTATTAAAAATAATTTAATTCCTGTTGATTTCATAGACACAGCACTTCAAGATTTTAAAGACATAGTTTGAAAATAATTGAACACATTTTACTAATAATATAGAATCACTTATTCTCAGGTATTTCTAGAAAATACTTAAAAAAATGTTTAAATAAGCCAAATGTTTGAAAAATAATGAAATTGCTTTGATATGCTCTCTAACAAATATCTTTAGGAAATTGAGAAAAGGCAGCTAGGATGAAATACTAATGCCTAACATTTACAACCATTGCTTTTTGAAACTATGCTTCTTGAAACTCTATGGGTTTTCCTTTTACACTTTGCCCTGTACAACACATCTGGGCACCTGTGTAATAGTTCTGGGGGTAAAAAGTCTTCATTGCATTCTGTATTGCAAGTGCTGGAATGGAAAACTGAAGTCACTGTCCACAGTTCTTTCTCCCTGGTCATCTATTCTTACAACATCTAGAGGCACATTTTGACAGGTTGCTCATCTTTGGCTCATTCCTGCAATGGACACATGGAATATTTACACATGTTTGTTAGATAACAACTTTGCCTATCATTTCTTTCTTGTCTCTACTTCTGTATTTACCCTGGTGTGGTAGAGGAGTTCATCTGTGAAATATTTATCTAGCACCTATGACCACAGTGGGAGTTGATATATCACATATAAAATGTGTTAGGAACTGTTCTAAATACTTAGCATTTATTCACTTCTTTCATTGTCATAGCACTATTATTATTTTAAAGATTTATGCATACAAGTACTGGGGTACAGGCCAGAAGTGTGGGGGGCAAGAGTTCACCAGAGACAGAGTGGGGAACAGAACAGGCAGATGGACTGAAATATACCGCTGAGGGGAGCAGTGGGTGAGTTAGGAGAGGTCTGCTGCGCCATGTGGGTAGTTCCCTGCCCTGGCTGGGGATTGAACTCGTGCTGCATGGCTGTGGATAGCTTCATAGGTTGTGTCTTAATGCCTTGAGTCACCAGGGAGGCCCACATAGCACTATTATTAATCTCATTTTACAAATAAAGAACCGGAAGCATAGGAAGGTGGTGTAATTTACCTGAGTTCATACAGCTACTTAAGAAGTAGAGCAAGAAGTCCAGCTCTAGAGCACAGGATCTCAAATAGTCTTCCTTTAATTGGTACCTAGACTACAAAGATAAATAATGTGCAATACCTAGACTACAAAGATAAATAATGTGCAAAGTAGTTACTCTTCAGTACAGGGGAAAGGAAATGAAATGATAAATAATAATGACAGTAGCAAATATTTATTGAGTTGATATATTCTGAGATTTGCAAAAATTCCCTTATACATATTGTTTGATATAATCCTCATAAGAATCCTGATTTTTTTAAATTAGAAAATGATAATTATTCCCAAAATGAGAAAGAACAAATCAGTTCCTGACTCCAGTAAGTTTGAAACTGGCTTTAACAACAAGCCTTAGAATTCTTCTCTTAAATAAAAAAATTCACTGAACGCCCACTTTAGACAAGTGTACTCTGTGACTGGGACAAAGCAAAAAACAGAAACAAATTCCTTCCCAATCTTCTCAACAACGAGAGCACTGTACAAACCACAAAAATGTCCAACATCCTCCTCTTTCAGCTTCTATAATGACTGCTCCTTTTTTGATTAGTTTTATCTATAGTTCTACTATCTTGTTCTTCTCACCTTTACACAAAAAGTTTTAAGATACTGTATCGTTGAATTTTCCCTGCTTCTGACAACTCCAGATGAGAACAAAACTACAAACGTTCTTGAGTCATCCCAAAAAGATAAAAAACAAAGCTAAAGTATTTAACAAGTTTCTTCTAACTACTTTTATTGCGATTTCCCATATTTCCTCAGGGCAAACAATTTTCCTCATCAGCAATGAACCAGTAAACCCAACGTACTTCAACTTCAGCTATGTTCTTTGGCTGGACGATGTGAATAGTTCTGTACTTTTGAAACAAACAGTGAGAGGCTACCCTCATCCATTCTAAGTAGCCTGACTGGAGCAGAGTGAGAAAGCAGAAGAAAAGTAAGGAATGAATTTATAAAGGTCAAAAAGCAAAGTAATGTGCATACAAAAGACTTTGCTTTTTATGTTGTAGATGAGAAAATACTTAGCACTGATTCATATATTAAAAAGATCACTGACGAGAGTAGAATGTAAGAAGGCAGGATTAAGAAATCTTGGATTAGGCTGAGAGAGGGATTGTACAATTACATACAAACAAGGAGGGTGGGACTAATATGAATGCCTAAAGTGTTTCTAATAAATGCTAAAGCTACAAAATGAGAAAGACAAATGATTGATAGTGTGGGCAGAGTTTGGACAGTGTCACGGTTGGAGAGAATGAGGAAAATGGAAGGCAGTTTTGAACTTGGTAATTAGGAGGATGATGGTACCATTCCTTCCAATAAAGAAATCAAGAGAAGTTGGGAGAGAAGGGATTTTGATTATGTTGCATATATCTCAGTGTAGCTATTTAGTTGATATACACCAGGCATTTATTTGTGTTTCTGAATAGACAAAAGTGCAGGCCACTTTCACAAATCTCAAGGAAAAAAATAAGGAACAATTAGTTTGGGAATGATAACTAATATGGGGGAAAAATGTTCATGTAATAGTAGGAAATCAAAAGCCTAGGATATAGGCTTTATTTGTTCATAAATTCTTTAGGAAAAGGTAACATAGTATTTAAGAATGGTTATGGGGCTCGACTGCCAAAGTTCAAATTCCTGCTCTACCGTTTTAACTGTATGACTTTGAATTAGATCATCAGGCTTTAAATTCTTTATCTGAAAATTATTACAGTAAGCCTTACCTGAGAGGGTTGTTGTGGAGTGGGAGTTCTTACTGGAGTCCATAAATTTTCAGGCCATCTGTGCACTTTGAATTGGAAAAATTTAAAATTTATTTCTGTTAATAGTCTCATGGAAATTTTGTCTTTAATTTGAAGCCTGGTAAGCCACAGTGGTAATGGCAGTACATAAGGTTTTATTTTCTGTAAAATATACAGATATTTTTATATCACAGTACAGTTGTGGCAGATATTTTGAATATTCTCTTTTTCAAAATTACCACGTTTATAAGAACTGCTATTAGATATGCCGTTAGATTGCATGTGATTGCAGAATTTTTCCACAGCCCTCATGCTGCAACAGGGTGGTCCCCAGGAAAGGGGGAGGTTCCCTGCCCCACCCAAGGGAGGGTGGAGCTGAGCAGGAAGAGGAGAAGCTGAAGAGGAGACTGAGGAAGGAAGCAGGATGGAGCAAGGAGACCTGGAGGAGGCGCATGGAGCCTAGAGACACGTGAAGAAACTGCGCTTGTCTTTTGGTGGTGGACTAGGTGACACAGATGTGGGTGAGACCCGTGGGGAGGTGACCATGGCAGCTTTTATCTTGATGTTGATTTTGCTCTTTTCCTTCCGGGCTTGTCCGGTTGTTTGTGACCCTTTTCTGTGGGTCCCCACTGGAAGATGCTTTAGACTTGTAGCAGGCTTTGGGGCCTTGTTCTGGGCTGATCCCATTTGGATGGAGTTTTACCCACGAGGGGATGGGTAACTTTGGGTGCTTCATTTAGAAACTAGACTCTTTGCCTTACCTGTATTGTTTCCTAGTTTTATTAAAGTTCCTTCCCATTAAAGTCTCATATGTTTTGTGTTGATGCGGCGGATGGCAGAACCCATTTAGAATAGGCAGGTTTGCGGGGTTTGGGCTGCCCCTCTCCCTGTCCTATAACAATGCCACTTAGTTGGCTAAGTGTCATAACTCTGTGCCGCGTGGTCTATCATCACTCTGAAATCTGAATGTTTGTACATTGATTCTCACATCTACCAATGCTTTCCAGCATTTCCCAAATACAAATGTTTGTCGAGCATCATGCGAATGGTTTTAACTTTGATAATGACATTTAATTGATTTCTTTGTAATCCTATGTATTTAACTTATGCTTTTAGAAATACTATCTTAAGACTGGATGTATAGGCTTTATCAGAGAATCAAAGGTGTTCATGATACACTTCAATGAAAAAAATCTTGAAGCAGAAGAATAAAAGAGTACACACCAAACACTAGATTGAACTTGGCCCACATCAAACGCTCAATTAACAGTCTGCTGCTATTGTCCTTAAAATAGTCAGACACCAGGAATTGAATTATGTTGTATTCATTCCTCCATCAAAATGTCCAATACACTTTTTGGTGTTCCATGAATGCTTAACTGTTTAATAAACATAAGAACTAAGTGATTTGTAGGTTGGCTCCCCTGAGCTTTCAATTGGGGCTAGAAGGAACAGCTGTGAAGTTGCGGGGCTGCCCCTAATCATGCAGTGGACTTGGGAGTATGTCAAAGGACTTCAGAGGTCTCCCTTTGGTTCCTTGAAAGCATACAGTGGGAATGGAGATTGCAGGCTGCTATGGAGACCAGGTCCTGATAAATTTCACAAAGCAGTCCTCCATCATCTAAGAAGGCCTGTTTGTTGCTTCAGTTAAAACCCCTCACGTATTCCAGGCACCTATTACTGGTTTCTGCAGCAGGAGCCTTGGCGTTGCACCAGGGAGCCAGAGATGCGAGGCCCCCTCGCAGCGCGCGCACGGGGCCCGCTCCCTCGCCACGCCCACTTCCTGCGCCATCCCCGGCCTTTCCAGGTCCCCTCTTCCGGTGAACCGGATGCTCTGTCTGTTTCCTCCTCTGTCTGTTTCCTCCTCCTCGCCCTCGGCCCCCGCGCGCGTCCCTGGCCAAGCCTCAGGCACCCACGAAGGCAGAGGCAGGGGGCTTCCGGCGGTTGGCCTGACAGGTGTGAGTGGCCGGTAGGAGCTGGGCGCGCACGGTTGCAGAGCGTGGAGGAGACACTGCCCTGCGGCGATGGGTGCCAAGGGCGCTCCTTCACGCCGGAGGCCGGCGGGGCGGCGACTGCGCTACCTGCCCACCGGGAGCTTCCCCTTTCTCCTCCTCCTGTTGCTCCTCTGCATCCAGCTCGGCGGGGGGCAGAAGAAAAAAGAG